TGAATTAGATTTGAATAGTAATTATATAGAAATGCTCAATTCTTTGTAACAAAAAATTTTACAAAAATATAAGAATTAGTTTTTTTATTTTAAATATTATATTATATTATATCATATACAGTATATATTTTTAACTGCTGGTTCAGCCTTACTTTATTTGGATTAAGTAGAGTATACATATGTTTATGCTATTGCTATCTATGTTAATCAAATAAAGTTCAATAGAAAAGGAAAGAAATTTACCTCGCAGCTTGTCGCCACCCCTATTGGGGAGCTAACCAGTCAAGGCTGGACTAGTGCTATATAAAATTTTGAAAATGTTTGATAAATGTATAATATTTTTTATATATTTACCTATGTAGTGTCAACCTATCCAATTCACCTCTTAAGAATCAGATAGAGACAGAGAGCTAGTATAGGAAAACACCAAGTTAGACTTTTAATATGATATGCAAAAGTTCCTAATTTGGACAATAATAAATGAAGAGGTTTATCACTGATGATTTAGGCAGGAGAAGCAGGACAATAATTTCGAGTTAAAGGTAATTTTATTGTTGGATAAATCCTGAAAAGTCTCCAGAGGGAGAATTTCCTTCTTTAAATACATAATTGAGTTATATAATATTTGAGAATATAAACTAAGATAAATAATAGTAATAATTATACTAGTAGTTTCACTGGACTATTAAGCTATATTATTTTGAACAAAACTCAAGTATCCTTCGAAAATAATAGTTGCATATGATACACTGGGACTACAGAATATTCTAGAGTACTTTATGTTAAGTTTTCTAATAGAAAAATTGATTATAAGTATTTTAGAAGTGTTCTGGAAGATCTTTACTTTCAAATGACCAAAAGAATCATGATATATTGATATAAGGTACTGGGATCATCCTGGACACTAGGGAGGTCATATGGCGAAATTTTATAGTTCAACAGTAGTTATTGATCAGATTGATGAATTGGTTTTTATGTGTCTTTCTGTTTCATTAAGCCAGTCACTTTTGATTGAAGTGCTATATCTGATAGTTCTTTCGATCTTCCTTGTAATGCCCTATATTTCTTTCCACTTGTGAAAGTCATCAAATATTGTTTTCCATATGCTGAGAAGATATTTGCTGAAGTCTTGTCAGATTTCTTTTATACATTGTTTTCTGGAAGAGTGGTCTGCTATGCATTTAGTAATTGTATTGACTGTTTCTTTTAGGATGGCTTCTTTGACCAGGTATTTTAAGTATTCTAGAAAATGTAGTGAGTTATTTTTCTGATATTCTTGTAGGTATCTTTCTGTATTTGGTGTTTTGCTAAATTGTTGTATCTTTTGGACTATGATGTGTTGAATCTGCTTTTCTGTTTTTTCTTGTTGGTCTTTGCAGAGAAATGGGTGAGTGTTTGTTTCTTTGTTATTGTATTTGATACATTTGTCATCTTTATATAAAGTGGGCAAGTGACTGAAGTGTTTGGTTTTGGTAGATAGTTCTTCATTCCAGAGACTAAGATTGAACTTCCTCTGTTGTTGATCTTCCCAGTCTGTTGTGGAGTTGCTCATTCAGGTTGGTTGAAGGTTTTCTAAAGTTGTAGACCAGTGAATGAGTCTGATTATCCTGTCACTGAATTTATTTCTTGTTCTATTTAGGAGTCTCCATTTTGCTAGGTGTGTAGTTCTAGTTAGCTCTTTTGCCATACTTTTGATAGGGATCTCAATTTTTGTGTGGTTCTATTGAGAGACTAGTATGTATTGTTGATTTTGGGTAGGGATGGTGTATATTTTTTTGTGTCCAGAAGTTATGCCATTGATGGTGTCGATAGTAGCTGGCTGGTTTGCTTTTTCATTATATTTATCTTCAGTGTGTACTTTAACTTTTGTAAATTCTAGTTTGAGGTGGTTATGTTTAACTATATCACAGATATTTTGTAAGATTCCTAGATTTTTTTGTTTTCTAAGATTGTGTATATGATTTGTTTTCATTGTTTTCCATATACTGTTAATGGCAGTCTGGCTATATATATATATATTTGTTCTGCTATAGATGGGTAGTACACTTACTATTGTTATAATGCTGCCAATTTAGCTCTGGTTGAAGAAAAGAAGTTTTTTATTTGTCCTTGAAATTATATTTTTTGATTCTCTCTGATGATAATGATCCAGTCAAAACTCATGTAGTATTGGTTGTCATGTTGTAACATAAAGCCATCTGTATATATTTCAAAATTAATATCATTTTGGATTTGAAGTACAATGTTTATTAGTTTACTAGTGATATTGTATTCTGCATTTACTATTGTTTTAAGTTCTTTTGTTATGTGATATGTTTTTGTATTTGAGTCTTCTACTCTATTATGTTTGGTTGGGGGTGAAGTATGCTGCTCATTTTTTAGTGCAATTGATACTGAGTTGGGAGATACTCTGTTTCTGAGTATGGTGTTGCTCTGAAGGATTAGATCTTGTTGATATCTTGCTGTGCTGGATATGAATCGAAGTTGTACTTCTATTGATAGTTGTGAAAGTATACTTGGGCTCAGGTCTATTATTTTGGTTGATATCACAGCCATTACATTCAAAAGGTGGTGACTGGTTGGGTACTTATGTATAGTATCTATATAATGTGTGGTTGTTGTCTATCTTTTTTTGTTTCCTTCCTATTACTATATAGTTGTTTATGGTTGTGGCAATCCAATAAGGTCTCGTTGTTTGTGCTTTGGTGAGAGGACTATATTGTAGGAAATAGTTCATGTATTCTTGTTGCTCTTTTGAGATCCATTATGTGAGGATATGTTGTAATTTGAAAAACCATGTAGGGGTTGAGCCTGGTACTGTCTTGCAATAAATTTTGATGACTTGACACTATTGTAGGACCTTTTTTCTATCTCTGTTAAGGAGTTATTCAGTAAAGAGTATATTGTGTCTCCTTAGTTCTGAGCAGAATTTTCTATATGTCTCTGGCTCTACTATTTCTTCTATAGTGGTAATACTTTTTCTATTATGTGAAAGTTGAAGTTATGAACTTTGTGAAAGGTAAAGCTATATGTTCTGAGTATCCAAATTGTGTTGTATATTAGATTTCTTCCTGGTTGAAGCATGGGGACCTGGATATTGTTGTATATCTCTCTGGTAGACCAGAATATATTTTGCAATGTTTGAAGGTGGTGGCAAGTAATGTCTTATGTGATGTTCACTTATTTGATCCTAGTGCACTAGTTATTGGCATGTAATTGAACTTGTCTATCCCAAAGGTGCATTATGTTATATTCATGTTGATTGTATAATATACTGTTGGGTGCTGTTCTGACAAGTCCAATTTTGTGCTTAAATATAGTTATGAATTTGCTCATAAGTTGGTTGCAGATTTGTTGAATTAGGATAATATTATTACAGAAATATTCAATTCTGGGCATGAGAACATGTTTGATAATATATTGTACTTATTTGTCAGTTACTTTTTTCATACCAAGAAGTGTGCATATACTTGTGATTTTTTGTTTCATTAGAGCTTTCTGATAGTCTTTTTGGCCAGAGCAGTTATACCATACACCAAAGATTTTAATTGGTGTGTTTGTTGGGCACCCTTGTACTGCTTGGCCATTCATTTGGATTCCAAGCTGGCATTCTTTTTCTGTTGCATTAATGGCAATTAGTTATGACTTTGCTAGATTGACTTGAATATCATTTATGGAATAGAATTCTTTCACTGTATCTATTATTCTTTGAAGGTCTTTTTTGTTGCTCGTCAGCCAGATAGTATCATGCATATATGTACTGACTGCGATATTGGTTGTCTTTTCTGTCCAGCCCTTTTTTAAATCAGTGCAGATTTTGGAACTAATTGTATATCCTTTGTAACATTGGCTGACTCTTGAGAAAAGAGAATCATAGAAAATTCTCCAAAGAATTGGAGATATTGTGTCACCTTAATTAATTTCATATTTTACTTAATATGCTTCTGTCAGACCAAAACAGGTTATGACTTTATTGGATCACTCTTGCAGTATGTTACTGAGGATTTGTGTAATTTGTGTTGGTATTTGAATTCTTTGGTGAGCTAACTGTAGCATCTTGATATTGACTGAGTCATATACTTTGGACATATCTTGACTTAGAATCCAGGCTTGTTGTTTGTTCTTCTTCACATATTCGATAATATTGGTTAAAATATGTATGGGATCCTGTGTGATATTTCCTGGGAGTGTAGCCCAGTTGAGTTTAGATAATATTTTATACTTGGCAAGGCAGGTGGTTAAGCAGTCAGTGATAGTTTTGGTAAAGATCTTTCTTCCTGCATCCAGGAGTTTTATGGGTCTGGTTATGTCAAGATTATTTGCCCAATCTTTGGGTTTGGATATAGGATAGATGTGATCTCTGCTCCATTCTTTGGGTATTATTCTATGTTAAATTATTAGGCTAAACATTGCACATAATTCTGTTTTTACTTTGCCTTGTAGATATTTATATTTGATGTAAGGAATTTGGTTTGGACCAGAAGCAGATTTTGAGCTACGTTGTCTGATTATTTTTTCCAGTTCTTGTATCAAGATATTGTCGAGCATGTCTTTATAGAAGTGTTTTTTGATATGTGATTTAGACTTGTATTCTTCTAGCTAGTGTGGGTGTTGTTTAATATCGACAATATTTCTGGGTGAGGTCCAGTTGTAGAAATGTTCGTGAACTTTGCCCTTGATGTCTGTTGGTTTAGACTGAATCTTAATCTCATCTGAGTTTTGTATAATTAGCTTGTTGAGAAGTATTTGTTTTCTAGGTCTCTTCATAATGCTGTCTATTATGGCTCTTTTGTTACTATTGAGGTATTCTTGTCTAATTTGATATTCTTTTTTTGATAGTTTGTACTTGTCTTCTCTAGGAGATTGCTTTGGCAACAGTTTTATATGCTTTGATGTTATCTTTGATGACCTTGATTCAGTGTTGAATGTATAATGAGGAATTGTTAGTTTTAATTTTGTTCAGTGTTACCATTAGGTTAGGAAGAAGTTCTTGTATTTGGCTAGATGGTTCGATTGACTGTAGAGCTTGGTTCTCTGTTATCACTGTTACTGACTGTCTGAGGTATGTAAGAAATTTCTGTAGTTGTATAAGAAGGGGGACTGTTTCTGTGTTACTGTGATTGTTTCTCATCCTGCAGTGTTTTTTCATTTTAGGTATGTGACTTTTTGCAGCTTTTTGTAAAATATTGCTGAAACAGTTTCATCTTTGATTAATATCTTGATTGCTTGTACTTTTGATGGAAAGATAGTGTTCTACTTGTTCATGAAACTTTTTCTATTGTTTAGTTGTGATCAAATGCTAGTTTAGATGATAGTTGAGTGTATAATGTAAGGCTTGTTTGGATCTGTCTAAATACCAGACTTCAATTCCATTGTAATTGGCTTGTGATCGCTTTATATAAGAGGTGCTGTGGAATCTTGGATAGTGGCTGTTCTAGATTGCCAGGTTGCTATAGAGTTTATCCATATCTGACAATTCTACTACTCAATATACCTCTATTCCATAAATACTCACATTTGGTTGGATTATATTTTTTGTATATATCTTCTAATCTATTGTCTAGTAGAGTCTGTATGTGTTTAGGGGCTACACTTTTTGTTCATCCTGTTATTGTTTTGCTTATCTATGGAAGGGTTAGGGACTCCATTGAGATCCCACAGTACCATAATATGCCAATTTTTTTCTATTGCTTTTTGGATCCATTTGTTGAATGTATTGGTGACTGTGTACTTTTCTTCTTCAATATCTTGTGCTGGAAAGTATATTCCTATGATTCTTATTTTTTTTTTGTGTAGAAAAGCCAGGTCAGTGGCGATAAGTCTTCTAGCCAGTTTTTTGTAGTTGCATATCCGATAAGCTATTTCTTTACTGATCATCATATTGAGACCTTGACTGATTGTTTGGGATTCCTTATATGTTTATATGGTTTGATATTTTGTATATTGCCAATGTTTTGATTGGTGGTATGAGTCATTGTGTTCTGTAGTAACTATGATATTCCATTCTGCTGAGCTGCAAAAATTAAACTATGTTTCTCATTTGTGTGTTTCTACAAGTTCTTGTATGTTGAGTATGATAACTTTTCCGATAGATTTGTAAAGGTGTCTATTTGTCTGTATGGATTCTATTACATGTATTGGTGAAGGTGTATTGTTGCCAGTTATTATATTTGTTGAATTTTGAGGGGTTTCTTCTTGATGTGATGTTATATGAGGTAACTTAATAGTAATATTGATGCGAGATGTTTCTTGGCATTGTATATTTTTGATGTTCAAATTTCTCTTTATTATTGTTGATTTGGAGAAGTTTATGTATTGTCTGCAAAAAAGTCAATGATTACATTATACATGTGATCCATATTTTGATCAAGTTTTTGCATGAATAATTGAATTTATTGTTGTTGAGTATGAATGTCTTGATTGTTGTTAATAGGAGCCTTTTCTATTACTGGGTTATCTTCTTTTTCACTATATAAAGTTGTGTCCTCTTCCATGTGTTTGCCATATTCTTCATCATAGGTCTTGAGATTGATAATGTATTCATCCAGGTTTATGATTTCTTCTTTAATCTATAAGATTTCTTATTTGATTTTGTTAATGATGTTTAGGATTTGCATTAAGTCAGATTGATGTGACTGTTCTATTGCTTAGTTATCTCTTGATATTTTGACTACTGCTATATATGAACCCAGTCTAATTTTGGTATATTTGTTTATCGGAGTTTTTCGTTTAATTGTTTCAGTATGTGTAGGTTTGAATCTATTATAGAGTTTGTCAAATTTATTTGCTTGTTCGAGCTTATAGCAATTCCATTGTTCCCTTCTTTCCTTAATTGAACATTGAATGACTAGATGCATTGCACTACCACATATTGTACAGAATTTTGTGTCAATTGATTTCCATTCAGTTTGGATTTCATCCAAAGTGAAGTTTTATAGTATTGCATTTTCTAGATCATTTTGATTACTGAATTCTACTATAGAAAAATACTTGCATTTGTATAACATATGTCTTGGAATATAACATGTTTTTGCTTTTGTTTATTTATATATGTATTTGAGATCGAAGGCTGTAGTATTGGGAGAAATATTGGTTAGTTTTACTGCAGTGTTGCTACATGCTTTCATTTGGTTCATATCCTATTATGCATCAAAAATCCTAACTGAGTCTGATCATAATAGGATACTCCATTTATTGATTAGATCTTCTTTTAATTGTTAATTTGCATATGTAATGACTGTTGATTGTCACATTTGTTGTGTTGACATGGAGATGTTAGTAATCTCCCCATATTTGACATATATTTGTTGTATGTCTATGAATTTAGTGTTCAGAAAGATGTCCTATACTTTGATACTCCTTTCTTTATCTGGTTTAGAGGATGTAAAAGCCATGTGTTCTAGATGCACATCTTCAGTGTCAAGTAAGATAGTGCTGCTGCTTCTTCTGCAGTGGGGTGATTACTGAAAATAGCAATAATATGTTTGTTTTCACCTTTTCCTTTACTATAGATGGAAAGGAGGTCATTAAGAGAGTTAAGGCTTTTGATCATATGTATAATTTTTGGGCTGGTGGTTCTTCCTAAAATAAAGGAGGCCTTGATCCCTGTTTTGACTCTTTCTCTGTCGAATCTAGTGGTACTATTGATAGGGGTTCTTGATCTGGGCTTGCTGAGTTTGCTTGTCATTCCTCTGGTATTGGGTATGATCTCTTGTCATGTTTCTTTACTTTGTTGGTTGTCCTTTCCATTACTGCTTGGTTCCTCCATTTCTATATTAGAGTTTCCATTATCGGATATAGACTTCTGGGCTTCTTGATTGGTATTGGGTCTGGTAGTCATGGTGCCAGTGTTTGCTTGGTTATTATTGTCTATTAAATTTGACTGGATTGTTCCTTCAACTTGTTCACTCCATGAGGATTGTTTTTTGTTATTTTGTTGTCTTGTTTCTATTGTTTGATAAGGGTTAGGAGTCTGGTTAATGTCTTGGTGTTGCTGCAGTTCGTCTTTAGGATTTTCTGGCTAGGTTTTCTTTCCTTTTCCTTTATTTTTCTTCAGAAGTTTATCTTTTTCTATTTATGTTTCTTTGCATAACAACCTTGTGTTACCTTTAGCTAGAACATTCTCATTGTAGTTGAGTCTGCCCTGAGCATATTGCTTTCATTGTTTTCTTGGAAAACTCATCTCTCCATTCACTTTTCTTCTTAGTTTACAAAATTGCCTAAAAAAAAATTTTTTTAAGAAAAAAAGGATTTGCGGGAAAGAGTTTTTTTTTTGATTATATCATATATATACTTATTTACAGTATATAAATCAAATAAATATTATTTATATAAATTGTAAATATAATTTTTAGAAAATATTAAAATTATTTTATAATTTATTTATAATCATAGCTACATATAAAATATTTTATTTTACTATATAAAATAACTTTTTTCGACCAAGTAAATATATTCCTAATATTATTTTCTATATTTAGAGGAATTGTTGCTAAATTTAAATAGAAATTTATTTAATTATAAATTTAATTTTTTATTAATATCTATTTATAACATTATAATTTTTATTAAAATTTAATAAAAATCTTACTATATATAGAATTAATTATAGAAATTATATTTACATAATCAACTAAAATCAATTTACTTAATAAAATAATAAGATTCTAAGAAACAATTATTATAAATTAATGATAATAATTTCTAAATTTAACCATTCATTAATGACAATTATTTTTTACTGAGTAGATTTTTAAGTATTTGATAGAAATTAATAAAATTTAAAATAAATGTAAATAAATATATATTACACAAGATTACTTAATAGAATATTATCTTTTAAAACATTAGTTTTAGTAATATGTTATATATTATAATTAAACTCAAAAATTAAAAAAAATTTCGCATAAATGTAAAGCTTAAATGTTAATAATAAAAGTCTAACTTAGTGTAATAAAAATTTCAAAGTATATAGAATTAATTGTTTAGTTTAACATTAATTAATACGTAAACGGTGATATAATTAAAAGAACAACAAAGTTTATTATGTAAGAACTTTTTACGTTTAAAAAAAATTTCGGATTTTTCGAAATCCCGTGTATCAAAATTTTCTTTTATCGAGTAAACCGGGACCCGGAAAATTTTTATGATCGTAACTATTTATTGATCATTAACTAATATAGACTATTGTGCACAGTTTCTTTTATCGAGAGTTGACCGTATTGCTCTTTTCGCGCATAAGCCCCAAAGGTGAAATTGAAATAGATGTCTGACAGTTTAGTGAGTTGTCTCTTTTTCTAATCTTATAAAAATATATTATTAAGAAAACCATATGTCTACAATTTTTGAGTTTGTACTTTTTGGTCATTAAATCCAGTGCTTTTTCTTCATCGTCAGGTAACAGAACAGATTTGGGTGCATGCATACACGATGACCAAGTTTCCGGTGATTTTCCCGGACAGCATCAGTGATTTCAAAATTTTTAGCACCAGGATGAATAAAGTGCCGTTGTTTTGCAACCCAATGTTTGAGACGACCAGAACTATCCGGTGTTGAAAGTCTTAGTTGGGAGGCCTATCTACATAGATACAGTAGTGGTTTTTGCAGTCGTTCACATTTCTCGACTTGGTTAACGAACGAAATTTATCAATGAAAGGTTTGTATGCCTTTATTATGTCATAAAATTAAAGGGTACTGTTGTGTTCGGCTTTTTATGCTTATACAGTAGCCTGTAAATTAGTTCGTTTCATTATGCAACGGATTGTATTGATCGACAAATGTACCTAGATCAAGTTTGTAACCACATAAAGTTTATACGTACAGTAACAACCTTAATAATATTATTATTACGTATTAATAAACAACAATTATATCAAAAATGATAAGCATACAGTTTTTCAATGAAATTATAAAGTTTAGCACGAACCTAGTGTGGATATACTTATTACCCGGATTAAAGCTTTTCATAGAAAAATATCAAAATTAGAGAATTTTCAATCAGCCCATGCATTATGTTTTTTTTGTGTACCGTAATACCATTGCCAATTTTTAAAGGGATCCTGATTTTCTTGTGAATAGTAAAAATCGTAAATTGACTAAACCTCCGTTCGGCATGGCGAAAATAACTGAAAAAACGAGGGAATTAATGAATAAAGCATTAGGTCATATTACAAGCGCTCTAGATTCTCTTATTAAACAAATTTAGCTTATTATATAATCATTATAAATTTATAGGTAGGTTTTTTTAAGAAGTTTATAATAAATAAGTCCTATTTATCGAAGTAATTATATTATTCATCAAATACTGTCTTATAGGGGGTAAGTTTTTGTTTGAATGTTTTCTAAATTTGTTTCTCAAATACGTACGATTTAACTATATTATATTGATTATCGACTTTTAGATTCTAAGTTTTCACAACATATTTTCCAAATTTGGTTTGAAAATTTCGAAGAAAAATGATTTAAATATATTATATATTGTCAACCTATAGACTGTAAGTTTATGCAAGCATATTTTCAAATTGTTTCGAAATTCCTACGAAAAGTGCTTTAACTATGTTATCGATCGTCGATATTATAGGTAAGTTTTCACAAGCATATTTTCTAAATTTGTTTCGCAAATTCTGAAGAAAAATTATTTGACTATATTATCATATAGGGAGTAAGTTTATGCAAGCATATTTTCAAATTGTTTCGAAATTCTTACGAAAAGTGCTTTAACTATGTTAT